CTGGGGGCTTTGTTTCTTCAGTTAGGCAATTTGATTTGAGGAAGCACTGACCCTGGGCCCCCGGGGAGGTGGAGGTAGGAGGGCAGGAACCCGGCAGCCGGCAAGGCTTTCCTGCTGGTTGGGTAGCTCTAAGCTCGGAGAATTGTATTTCATTGCTTTCTTCCCCACTCTGTGTTACCTTGTTTGTTTCCAGGCCAGATCTTCTAGGGAAAGACCCTTAGTAGAAAAACTAAGAGAAACTTTCTGGTAGCAGAGGCTTTCTGCTCCAGAAAGCAACCAGCAAGCAAGATCTACAGGGTCCTACTTCCAGTCCCTACTGCTGGCTTCTGAGGTTGCTTGAGGTCTCTTAGCAAGGGCTGCATTCAAAATCTTTAGCAACTGGTGTGGCTTAGGCACTGACCAATCAGAACAAATCCTGTCCGGAGGAGGCTGTGTCCTGGACGTCCCCTGCTGGGCCATGCATTAACTTTTGAGTTGCTAAATTTCAGGGAGGTCCTGGGGAAGGGACCAGGCCATGGGAAGTATTGTGGGTGTAGGCTTAGGGAGGGTCACTTAAGGGTTTCAGGGCAGTGGCTGTTGACCAGGTGGTACAGAACAGTTGTTTTTTAACAACTGGAATGGTCATTACTGGTACATACTTGTTAAAATATCAGCTCTGCCTGATGATCTCAGAGTGGAGTGGCAGTTAGGAGCAAACTTCCCTTTCTTACCTGACTCCAGGGTGACAAGAGTAATTTTTCCCTCTGAGATGAAAAGCAAGGAGGTGGTGTTGGAGAGAAATGGCCCCATAAACAGGTCAGCCAGCCTTTGTGTCCCTCTGTCTCACTGCACAGTGTGACCCGGAGTCCTGGCCCCTGGGACTCCCACAGGGAGGTAGGGCCCGCTGCTTGCCTTGCCTTTGGCTCCTCCATGAGGCGAGGAGCCCTGTCCAGGGTCCGGCTCCTAGCTGCCTCTTCTGTGGATGGATCCACATGCACCCCGCCTCTCAAGAACCGAATTACACCTGCTGATGTGTTGTACGCTTGGAACTGCAGAGTGGATTTTGTGTTCTCACACAAAAATAATGATGAGAGGGAAAGCATTTGTTAATTAGTCAGATTTAACCATTACACAACGTATGTATGTTTTTAAACATTATACTCTACACGATAAATATGTATAATAGTATGACAATTTAAATAATTAAATTTGAAAAAAGACTAATCAAATATTATCATAAGTAATGATAAAAGCCACAATTTCTTTTGCACCAGGCTAATAACACCTGGATTTCTCAATGTAGTAGGTTGTACTTATCTGATGGTGATGATGATTACTATATTTACACATTGTCTCAGAGCTTACTCTTGCAGAGGTTGTGGCCTCAAAAATGCCTTGTTGCCCCTCTGGAATCTTTCTTTTCAGCTTCATCTACTCCTCCTCACCTCCTGCTGTGGTGCACAGATGTCTATGGGCAGGCTCCATCTCCTCCTCCCCAGCTCCTCCCCTAGTGCACAGATGTCTATAGGCAGGCTCCATCTCCTCCTCCCCAGCTTCTCCCATAGTGCACAGTTATCTATAGGCAGGC